AAGAATGAATTACAACCAATCAATATAAGGATCACAAAATATGGTTTCCTACAAAAATGTTAAAAGAAGCCAAGAAAATCAGATTTGAAAAATTTTCCTTTGAGCTAAAATGAAGTCCCATGTTTCACTAGCTAATGCCACTCCTCTTTTGTTAAACTCCACATTCTTCCATTGCACTGCTGTCATGATCACAGGGCTGTGACAATCCAAGAACTAGCCTGTAGCAGAAACTCTTGAAGTTACTGGAGAGAGAAATTCCCAGGAAACTAACTAGGAAGGAAAAGAAAATCCTCATGTTGGGCAATGCTAGTTTCCACTGCTGATTTAGAAACCTACAGCTAAACCTCTTGACTGGAAGCCAAATATTAAAATTTTCCTTTCCTGAACACTAATTAGATTACATGACTAAAATTATAATTTAATGAAGGACAAGAAGAAAAAGCTAAGGAAAAAAAGCCAAAGTCTTTCACAACTGTTAAAGAGAGAAGGACTTAAGATTGTATGTTTCATTATTTATTGTTCCCCACTATGCATATTATTAAAGTTATAAAAAAAAAACCACTGTCCACAGTTCTCTGTTATTAAAAGAGGCCTTCACCAAACTCATGATCTGAGATGCTTACCTGGAGAGTCACCATTGCAATTTTTAGAATTTGTATGGCAAGTTTCCACGGTTTTCTACCTCGAGCCCAGAACTTCTCACAAGGATTCATAAAAAAAAATTTGAGTTTTCGCCTCATTTGGTCTTCTAATAGAAGCTCTTCAGATGGAGATGTATGATGATTAAAAGTGCAGTGACTTTCGTCTTCGTGAGAGCTGCAGCTATTTACAACTACCTCAGGATTTGCCATCTCTAGGGAGGAAAAAAAAAAAACAACAACCCAACATTTCCATTCAGTCAGTAAAGGCATACATACCTATTCTTTGCTATTGCAGGATATTGCAGGAAGAAGCCCAAACAAAAGATTTCAAATAAGGACCGTTGCACTAAACTGTACTTTAGTTGTTTACAGAATTAATTAGAAAGTAAGACATCATTTTTCTATTTGTTTCAATTACTAAGTGGATTTTCACCTAGTTGAAAGTTACCAAATTCAAGTATGTATATGCTTTCTGCCTCATTCAGTAACAGATACAGTTACAGCAGGGATTGAGACCTGCAAGCCTGGGCAAGGACTTCAGAGGGTAGGCAGACACTGAAATTGTATGCAAAATTTTGTGTATTTGTGGATATGGCCATTTTTTCCTGAGGAGAAACTAAAACTTTCATCAGATTATTAAAAAAAAAAAAAAAATTTAAACCACTGAGTTAAAGGCAGTAGGGTGTAGAGAGCCAAGTTTGGTTCTACAACTTAACCCTTGTGTGACCTTAAGCAAGTCACTGAGCCTCCCCGAGCCTCAGTTTCCTTTCTTGAAAAATAGGAATAATACCTACCCTCATATGACTGTAGCGAGCATTAAATAAAAATGAAATAAAGCCCTTGCATGGGATCTAGCACTAAGCAGGCAGCCTAACTTAACCTACGCCCCAGCAGACAGAACAGCTTTCTAAACAGCCAAGATTCTTAAGGGACAATATGAGCCTCCAAAAACTTAACTGTTGTTCCTAACGGGCAATGTGAGCCTCTGAGAACTTAAGTGTTCTATAGAGGGGGACTTCATAGGCACTCGCTTTAAGTCCGATTCCCAGTTATCCTCATCACTTGTATTTGCTTCTTATTGAAAGTCTTATAGTTATGTAGCACATTTTACTTTTCAATGTACTTCGTACCTATTATTTCTTTTGTCGCTTTGTAAAGAGTGAGGCTGGTTTAATTGTCTTCATAGCCAGGTTTTCCAAAGTGACAGATAAGTCACTCCAGAGACTGGGACCTATCTTGGATTTTCCTTCAGATTAATACTGGTACTATGGAAACCTGTTCAAAATAATATATCTCAAACCACCAGGAGAGTACAGTATTTCCATAAAGAATAGAAAGGTTGGCTTTGTTTGATACTTTTACAATAACTCGTATTCAGCAAAGAAAGGGGGAAAATTTAATTTGCATTCATACAGTATTTGACAAGTCATTGTTTAGGTACCACACTGTTTTCCAAGTCTAGAAACCCATTTCTGATTCCAATTCAAACATTCTTAGCAAACCCTACATCTCCAATCAGTAGATATTGTCTATAAAAACTAACCCTGGGGAAAGTTTTGAAACTCTTGATTAATGAAAAAATTAATAAAACTGCTGCGTGAATAAAGCATAAAACATATTCACTATATAGCCTATGCAAACTATGCACTACCTTCAAATGAAATAATTATGATAGAAGTCATTCAAGTGTGGCTCATATGTGTGTGTGTTAAAATGCCTGTCAAAGCATAAGTACAATAATTCTTAGGTAAAGACATATGAAAAAAGTTACTAATCCCTTAGAGTTTTCACTCAAGAACATTTTATTTCCTCTTTCAAAAAGATAGGATAACGTGATGGATATGCTGACTACCAGGAGGAGATCATTATACAATGTGTGCATGTATTGAAACAACACACTGTATGCCATTAACATGTACAATTAAAAATAGGTAACAGGGGCCCACCAATCATTAGCTCAGTTGGTTAGAGCACAGACTTACAATATCAAAGTCATGGGTTTAGATCCCTCCACCCCCCAGCCACCACCACCCCCCCCACACACACACACGAAGTGAATATTTTTTGAAAAGGTAGGATATTTTAGCCAGCATTTAAGGAGCTTTTATCTGTAGGACTTAAAACGAAGGTGATTTTATGCTGATAAAACCTTGCATATGAATACCAACATAATAATGAAGTTGTTAATAATGAAGCATGTTGGTGAACTACAGATCTGAGGTCACGTTAAGCCCTTTCCATTCTGATACGAGGAAAATTAAACTTTAAACAAATTAGCCACACACCATGTAACAGTAACCCACAGGAGCAAAGAGAAAATGAGCCAAGCACCCTTAATTTATTCAGCACATCGCACCAAGTTGTTCCGGAAGCAAGACATTTCATTCTTAAGGACCGACCGCTAAACTTGCAAACATTAGCTTTATCTCATCTGAAAAGCCCTTTCAAGGGTGCATTTTGAAACCGGCAAACTGTGGGGACCCCCAGCCGCTGAAGGAATATCCGCAGCTGCCTTCACAGCCACGCGGGAGCGCTGCTCGGGAGGCAGGGTGGGCGAAGGGGACCATCAGGAGAGTCCACCCGAGGTATCAGGCTTGATCTTAGAACCGACAACTGACACAGAGGTTATTCATGCGTGGCGGTCAAAGGCTTAATTCGACTGAGCTGCAAAAAATTAGAGAAAGCCAGGGAATACGCGTAAATAGTAAAAGCCTCACAGGTGGCGACCAAGTAGCAACCTCATTTCTTAAGAAGCTCTTTCGCTCTTCACCACACCCAAAACTTCGGTCTCTCTTTTCTTTCTTCCTTCCTTCATTTTTTAAAAACAAGCATTCAGACTGGCTTTCCCGCACTGGCTGGTGTTCCGTGGGGAAAGCGCTGCCCCTCGGACTCTACAGACGGCCCGGGCCCGGCTGGAGGCTGCTTTGCACCAGCGCAGGGACCCCGGCTTTATCCCCCATTTCCATCCGCCCCCCTGCACCCCTTGCCTCTAATAAAGGAGCAATGCGAGTGGAGAGAGGCCCGCAGAGCAACTTCAGGACCACCTACGAGCCCCCGCCGGCACCCAGACGTCCGCCCGCGCCCCAGGCCTCTGAGGGCGCGGCTCTGGGAGGGGAGAGGCTTCCTGCTCTCGGGGTTCGCGCCTCGGGCTTCCCGGTGGGCGGGGGCCGAGGAGCAGGCCCCCCACCCGCCGCAGTTTGGGCCTGCGGCTAAGCAGGGCGGGGGCGCGCCGACCAGAC